CTAATGGTTCTTTCTATTTCCGTTACTTCAGGTTTGTCTATTTCTTCTTGATACTAAAAGAAAATTTAAATGTTATTGACATAAATAGTCAGCATTAAATGTTGCATCGTACTAAGTATTATTGTAAATGCGAAAATTTATGAGGGTAGCCAGATAAATGGATGTTTGTTGCTCTTTTATGTAAAAACGATTGATAAGATTTTGTTAAAGCTTAACAAAATCAAAATAACACGCAGTATACTTTTTATTACGTTACTAACTAATTTAAAAAAAAAAGCAATTTTACCTCTCGTTCCACTTCAATCGTTACTTCGTTAATATTTACATCACGGTCATTCAAATCATCAGGTATATTTTCATCTGTCATGTTTGTCTGAAATAAGTAAAATAAATAATACTTTATAATTATGTTAGTGTACTTATAATAAATGGCTACTATTACAAGCATGACAAATATAAAAAAATACACCTACCACCTCATCCACAGTATTGGCATAAAAGTTCGATTCATAATTTAAATCGATTCGGTCACCAAACAAGGTTTCAGGTTGTTGATCTATGTTGTTGGAATTAATAATACTTAAATCGTTGACTTGTTTATGATAAGAGGTACTTCCTAATATTGTTACTGTAGATTTGCTAGTGTCGCTTTCATCAATTACGGAAGACTTATCATCCTTGTTCGAAATACTGATTCGTTTGATTTTATGTTTGTAGAATTTCTGTCTTTCCGTCTCCATATTTATCTGAAATAGTAAATATAGTAATTATAAGGGAAATACATAGGATGAACCTTTTAAAGTGGAGTCTTCACATTATATCCAATAGTTAACGGTAAATAGTAGTACCTATAATACAATACATTAAAACGTACTTAAGAAACATAGTTCATAAATAAACTGTGCAAATCGTTTCGTTCATAAATAAATTTAGATAACTAAAACAGTAATTTGCATGTTGCACATGGGTAATTTTATTGTCATAAACAAACGTAGTGTACCTACTATAATTAAAATGCATCTAAAGATACGAGTATTAAATAATTATATAAGTACTTACAACAATATCCATAATCATTATCACGTTATATATATAGCACATAAATGGAGAAAGATAACTTAAGATTGCCATTATTCTCTTAAAATAATGAGTTAACTACCTACTTAATAGAAGAAGTAACATAATCAAAGACTAATAAAAATAATAAAAACAAATAACTTTATTACATTTCATCTCAATTGAAAATTTTACGTAAATAATGAAATTAAAGTAGGTACTTACGATTCGATTTCAAAGACAGACGTTTTACGTAAACACTGGCGGCGACTGCGCGTCATGTCATTCCTCGATGCACTCTGGAGTTCGACTGAAGCGCCTGCGCGCGGCAGTCCGGTTGAAAGATCACGATTTTTAACTCCCGGGAGATGAAATAAATATGGTATCATGCGACATGAATAAAATGTATCATATTAAAATTTTATGATTGAAAGACCGACCCGTATTTTTATTTATACCGACAAAATGTTTCATATTGCATTACTTCATTTTATTGTCTGTATTAAGCGACATGCATTTAATAAAATAATAGGACCAAAATGTTTTAACGGCTAAGCAAAATATCTGAAACAAAAGAACTACTTGATTTAAGTAGCACCCTGCATGGAAAATAGATGCAGCTGAAAGAGCTTAAGCGACACTCCATGTCGTATTTGGGTGACGGACAAATGGTTTAAGAGACATCACACCATGTAATTGGTAGAAGTCAAAATGATTTAAGTTACTGCTTAATAAAAAATTGAAACAGGAAACACGCTTTAACTCTTATTGGATTATTTTTCTGAGAAAAGGTAACTGGTTTATGTCTCGTCTCTTAATATCATTGTATGGTTTAAGTACATTACTAAAAAAAANGTGTTAAGGTTTTCAGTCTTTCTTGTGACAAATAATTATTGATGAAATTTTGACAAACAATAGCATTTCTTAATGGCAAACTACGTAATTGGCTTGCCACATGTACTCCGAATGTATCAAATTCATTCAAATTGTTTCTGTAATCTTGTTCTCTTGGGTTCCATAAGCATGGATGCATTTCATAGCATTCCTAAAACTGTATGGTGTTATTTTTATTCATGGTTGTTACGATACATGTACACAGAAACGCTGTAGTAAATAAATACACGTGCGTGCGCGAAACACCTTCATGCGGCGGGCGATCGCCTGCAACTGATCGTTTACACGGTCGATTTTAGTCACCAGTCGCATGCGGCCGGTTGCCGCGCGGCCAAAGTCGGATGCTACCCAACTTTGGGGCTTGCGGCTTTAGTCAATTGCAACTTAGCCGAATTGCCATTTAGATGGTCGATTTGCGCCGCGCGGCCAAAATCGTGCGGCTCTAGTCACCCGTGTAAACCCCGCGTAAGTTTACCTAAGAAAGCGTCTATATTCTGTCTTTGTTTAACGTTCTAGCAGTTGTATGCGTTAGAACAGTGCAGAACGTGTTTTAAAGTACGCTTTTCGAATGAAAACAGCGGCATCAAATTACTGACCGTTCCGGTCGCCTGCCAGCTAAGCGTTTATTTTATCATGACCGGAGCGGGAGGCTGCCACCATGGCACATTTTTTCCGATGGCGTCTGCCATAGGAAGGGCTATTTCACACATCTAAATCAAAGTATCTTTGCACATAACAATATACTGACGTCCTATTAAAGTATAAATTCTACAAATAATTAATACTCAATAATATTTAAAATAAAATGAGCCAAGAACGTTTAAAAACCTAATAACATTAAAATATTCTGGGCAGCTCTAAAGCCGCCATGTTTAGTGGCGAGATGACGTCGCAGTGGCACGCATTTTTTGTTGACGTTTCATTTCCATAGGTTTTATAATTCAGTGGTAACAACACATGTTTTTTTGTAATCAAATATCTTTTATCTAAAAGACTTGTTTTTCCCCCCGTGTTCGTTGAAAACAGAACATGTATAAACTCTTTAGACGGCACCTTTGTGAGAAACTATTCGAACCTCGACGAAGGTTCAATTCGAATTGAAATTCAAATAAAATAAAAAAAATTATAGCGTCGTCTTTTTTTCACTTCTTATTTTAGCATCGCGTTCGTTATTAAATTTATTAATTTTTAGTTTTATTTTATATTTATTATATACCTACCTACTTAAAGCAACGACATAGGTCTTAAATAATAAGTGTATTTTCTATGGACCTATGTATGTGCTGTGCATTTTAATATTAATATAAAAACAACTAATAATAATATTATGTAACGCCTACATCATTGTTCCTGCTTCATTAATTTAAATATATAAATATGTGCCGCAATAATCAAAAGTTCCTCGAAGTAACCTTCGCCGGAGTACGAGCTGGAGACCACGGGTGAGTGAAAAATTGTTATTTTGTTTTGGCTTTCACGGAATATTCCAAATGTTGTTTAGTTATACTTCCTTTATTACTACAATTTCATATAGGCTTCGCTTTATTTAGAATACATAAATTTCATTATCCGGTAAACTTCGAAAGATCGTTCTGCTTCTGCCCCATTTCTGCCCTCGCTCATTTAATGCAGTCCGCCATTTTGTGCGTCGCCTCGCGTCGCATTGTTTTGTCAGGGCGGAAGTGAAGCAATGTATAAGATGGTCATGAAACTAGTCTTTACGTCTTGAATTATTCTAAAAGAGAATAGTCTGACTGCATTTAATTATTTATTACTTTTAATATAAATTATGGGCATTTGAAAAAAATAAAAAATTAAAAAACAATTGACTCTAAATAAATATATATTTTAATCCTACTTCAATAGTTTGTTTATATTTTAACGTCTATGTTTATATAACTGTAATATAATAAAATATCCTAACAGTTTCACGAGTAAAGTGTAGAAATCAAAGCAGCAACATATTCACAATAAGGTGTTAGCTTTATTTATTTAAATTATATTAAACTGGGCGGTCTTTTCCCTCTGGCCGCGACGACTTTAAGCTGTCTGGGATTCTTGAAAGCTATTTACCGTAAAACGAGTTTGAGTATTTGCTTACACCACGCGAACTTTACAAAACACAGCTGAACGCAACCTCACTAAATATGACGTGATTCGAGGTTAAAGTAAACGAGATAACAATAAATTAATATAATACATAATCTTATAAAAATGAATTGATGTTCGTTAGTCTCGCTAAAACTCGAGAACGGCTGGACCGATTTGGCTAATTTGGTCTTGAATTATTTGCGGAAGTCCACAGAAGGTGTAAAAGGTAGATAAATATGAAAATGCTCAGAATTAAATAAAAATAACAATTTTGTTTTTCCTTTGATGTGTCCCCCATCGGACGGATAAACCTTAGGTCTTTTATTTATCGATTGAGGCACTACGAAGTACCACTACACTGGTCAGCTAGTAATATAATAATAATTATTATTATTGTAATAATATAATACAGCATATAATAAAGCATTATGATCGGGGTTCAGTTTATTGGGGTGGCGTATTTAATGACATCTCTGGAATACGGATCGTTTAAACCTCTGGGTCTACGGAGGGACTCCGGTTCCCTCTGTATTTTGTACCGTATGTTCCATGGGGAGTGCTCTGAGGAACCGCACCTCCCGCCATCGGAGCAGAGTTCATCCATATTATCTGGAACCGCTGCGTGCATCGAGAGTGCGTTTCCAGAGCTCTTTTTTGCCACGTACCATCCGGCTATCGAATGAGCTCCCCTCTATGGTGTTTCCCGAGCGCTATGACATGTTCTTCTTCAAACGACGCTTGTGGAGAGTATTAAGTGGTAGGCAGCGGCTTGGCTCTGCTCCTGGCATTGCTCAAGTCCATGGGCGACGGTAACCACTCACCATCAGGTAGGCCGTATGCTCGTGTGCCTACAAGGGCAATAAAAAAATACGTGTTAATGCCGCGAGGGCGAATACCTATACTGCTCCCACAGACGTGTGATGGTTCTAGGCGTCCCTGGTATACGGCCAGAAGGATGAGCTCCACGGGGCGCGTGCCCGGGTGGCCTTGACCGGGTGACCTTGGCTGAGCACTTCCGAGACGAGGAGGGCCAGGACTTACTGTTGTTTATTGACAACATCTTCAGATTTACGCAAGCCGGTTCCGAGGTACGTAAGTGTGATATAAATGTTGATGCGCTTTTTGTTGCCTCGACTTGTATCTATATATCTGTGTAACAGAATCTTTGAATGTCCTATAAACCATTTGTGGACCATGTTAAGAGTCCATGGTCTTGCTGTTCCTACCACCTGTCTTTATCTTCGACATTCTCAAAAGCTTCACGCGTAGAGAAGCCGATATGCTATCAATTTTGATCAGCGACTAGGTGATCGACCACATGGTCTTTTCCCGTCGACATGACCCACCACCGTCAGCTTTACGTAAATACAACTTGAATTATTTTAAGTTAATCATGAGCGTTGAGACGTAAGTCCAAAATTTCACCGATTTTCACGACAATAACAGTTCGCTAGACGAGAATTAAGTTAGAGCGCGAGAAAAACTGGACCACTCATAAATAATTGTAATTAATTAGGTTCGGACGCGAAGCAGTTATCAGTTTGAAGGGCGAGGTGGCCGTTTTACTGTAAAGCTAAGCCTTAGGAGTAATCTCAAGGTTAGTGGTGGCATTTATGTTGTGCTATTGTGTTATTATGGTAAGGGCTCCGGCAAGCACTTACCACAAGCAGAAGGCTCGTTCAGGGCACAAAAAATAATCAATGACCTAGAAGAACAGTTTTCTGCCGACTAGATGAGAAGCCTCCGAAATACTGTCATGGCTGTCTTAATTAATAATGCGATGGTTTGAAGGGTGGGGCAGCCGTTGTAACTATACTTGAGACCTTACACTTATATCTCAAGGTGGGTGGCGCATTTACGTTGTATATGTCTATGGGCTCCAGTAACCACTTAACACCAGGTGGGCTGTGAGCTCGTCCACACATCTAATCTATAAAAAAAAGTAAGTTATCTGTCTTTTTGTAACCGCTTTCCTAGCAAGAAACTGATATAGTTCTTGAGTTGGAGAATGGATTTTTTAATAGGTGGGCTATGCTCTCGCAGGTTTATGTTGTAGTGGAAGTGACGTCATACTTCGCTAAATGAACCGAACTATGGATTATCTTCGTCCTAGACTGTCTCTTTTGCTAATGTATTCCATTTGTAATAATTTCTTAGGCCGTATACGTCCCGGCAGACGACCTCACAGACCCGGCTCCGGCTACGACCTTCGCTCACTTAGACGCGACCACGGTCCTCTCGCCCGCCATCGCGGAGCTGGGTGTGTATCCGGCGGTGGACCCCCTGGATTCGACCTCGAGAGTGATGGATCCTAACATCATCGGGGTTGAGCATTACGGCATCGCCAGGGGCGTGCAGAAAATACTGCAGGTTTCTTCGTTTTTATTGTTCATCATAGCACAGACTAACTAACTATGAATAAGATCTATAATTGGGATCGTGGCGCATAAAATGAAAACTATTCCGCTTGTGCAGTTTTATTGTTTTCTTCCGAAATTTTCTCTATTATTAGAATTAAAAGTTAACTGACTTTCTTGCGCCTTGCCCATTCAAACCGAGATATTCAATTTCATTTTATTTCATATAATCTATATATTAATACGTGAAGCAAAAACTTTGTAACCCTTTTTACGAAAATTGCGCTGACGGAGGAGTATGAAATTTTCTACACCTATAGAGAGTATAGAGAAGAAGTGCACAATGCTAATATTTTTTTAAAATAATGCATAAGAGATACATTAAATCAATAAAGAAAACATTACACACACTACATACAATGCATTTGACGCACACACGCATGCGTACTATAAATTGTCAAACTTTGTTCTTGACGTCTGTGGTCAAATTGAGAATAGATTAAATATTGTTTGTCTTTATTAATATTTTTTTATAGTGTAGTCTTGGCGAAATTTGTGATTATAGAAGTATAAAATACAATCATAATAGTGTACAAACTTACAATTCCAATTAATTATAGTCGAATTTCGACTACTTGGGACACTAGTTTTAAATAATTTCATATCATTTTACATAATTTCTCATCATTACATATCATTTGACCTCGTCTCATAATTTCATATCATTAAATTGAATCGGCCTCGCCATCTTCCTTTCTCCCTCTTTCACTGTTTTTGCATGTGTATTGAGGAATACTCGAGAACTGCTGGTCGGGTCTCGATAGAATGGACTCGAATGAGAAGCACCGGCTGTCAAATATAAAAAAAAAATCTTCAAAATCGGTTCACCTAGAAAAAAATCTGAGGTAGAAAAGACCAAAATAGAACAGTCGAATTCAGAATCTCCCATTTTTCTTTGAAGTCAATTAAAAAGTTAAATGTTTTACAAAGGTAATGATGACAACGAAAATTAAATGATGTCTTTTGCAGCAGATCCTCAGATATCTTATGCTGACCAAATTGAAGATGGGAGATGTTTTCTATGACCAGCTTTTTTTTTAAATCTACATCATAAATACAAGGAAACGTTTGTACCTTTATGCGTTCCTAAGTCCTTCCTCCGATCGTGGAGAATCTCGGAACAGCCGTCGCTGTCCCTTAAGGGTAGAGGCCGCTCTCCCTGTCGTACCATCCAAGTACGTCAGGGGGCGCGCGAATAGTGTAACGAAAAGAACATAGATTATACACTTAATATATGTCAAGAAATCATTTGTACAGAGCAGAGCATCACCGGCTTTTGTATTTCTTCAAGTGGTCCCTGGACAGGATTACAAATCGCTACAGGACATTATCCTCGGCATGGAAGAGCTGTCCGAAGATGACCAGCCAGAGATAGCCAGAGCCAGGAAGATACAGAGGTTCCCTTCGCAGCCGATCCAGGTGAGCTTTAGTCTATGCAGCATTAGACGTGGGCGGCTGGATGCTTGCACTGCTGACGTTGAGTTCAGCCGAGTCTCTGCTATTGTCGCGCGGTAGTTTCGACAAGTAAAAATGAATGAATGAATTGAATAGAAAACCGTACTAAAAAATTTTTTTGGGTGCCCCGATGATATTTGATACTGGTCAATGATAAAACGAAGTTATAAAGTTATTATATCGTCCGAATGTCGAGTTTAATGGTCTACCGCGGCAGGCGATGCAGGCCTTTTCTATTTTTCGACGATTCCGGATCCACGCCACGATTTTTCTCTCCACACTATTACTAACCTTTTTGCTCCTTTATTATTTACACGAAGATGAATCGAACGTCGTTGTGTTAGATCACAGATTTGAACTAACCGTTTTGTCTTTTAGATTTTAGGCGCGAGTTGGATCACATTCCGGAGGCTGCCTTCTACATGGTGGGCACCATAGAGGACGTGATCGCCAAGTTGTCACAGGAACTCTCCAAAAGCGTGTAGAGTCGAACTGTTTTATAAGTTATTTTATTCGAATAAAGATGTTGGTTTTGGTTTTGTTTCATTTGTAGCTTAGAACCCTTCAACGAGTCTTTCTGAGGGTAGCCAGGCACACGCACCGGCCATCGTCGAGCGCTTCCGAAGATTGCTGAAGCATCGGCGCGTCTTAAATTCAATATTTTTTTTTTTTTTTAATTAAATAGTGGCGAATCATGACACATCAAGCTTAAACTACTGTTTTATCGCCACCACAAACGCCACGGCATGTACGGCCGAGCGCGCCCAATAAATGCGCGTACATACGAATGGATTTTGTAAAGGAGTCAATAGTCAAGTATCAAGTATCCAAGCAGTAATGCGTTTCGGTTTGAAGGGTGGGGCAGCCGTTGTGACTATACTGAGACCTTAGAACTATATCTCAAGGTGTGTGGCGCATTTACGTTGTAGATGTCTATGGGCTCCAGTAACCACTTAACACCAGGTGGGCTGTGAGCTCGTCCACACATCTAAGCAATAAAAAAAAAAAAAAAAATCTATNTCGTTGCCGCGAGCCGAGCCATATTTTGTCGGTTTATTTGCCGTGCACAAAGGAGCCTCAGTCCGAGCCGTGCATTTGATGGAAACGGGCGTGTGGGGAAAAACCAGAAAAATCTTTCGACGCTCAATATTAATTTTTTAATCGTTGCAAAATCTTCAATTTTTTGTAGTGTAATAGCAGAACGTTGAAAGTTCACAAAACAACTCTGAATATGCATGATAATAGCTGCTTAAAAAAATCTCATTTCAAAATTAACTTCTTGTGGTGCTAATTATTTTAGTGCTAGCAACTTTGCTCTTTTATTTATTTGATAATAATAGAAGACGACCGTGATTTATAAATGTTATTTAGTGTTTGAGTCATCATATACCATAGAACGGGGTGAAAAGGGACAAAATTGAACTATGTAGTTACATTAGTAAAACTGAATATCATTTGAATGAAATATATGTCCGCTAACTTAAATAATACAACACTCTTTATAAATTAAGTTATTTAATCGGTTATTAATTTACTAAAAAGTATACTGTCTCTTTTCAGACTGAATGTGGGGTCAATTGGGACGGACAAGGGGTTGCTAGGGAAAACAGGTCAGGGCTGTCAAAAGACAAAAAAATATAGTTAATACACAATTATGGAGTAGATAGGTAGGACATAAATAAGAGTCTTGTGGGTATTACTATTTATTCATATTTATTCATGACAGAAATTTTATCGTGATATCTTCTTAAAAAATCAGCAACAAAGTCAGGGTATGGTTTATTTGTGAATCTCTTAATCTTTATGTCTGATCTATCTAAAAATCTATTTACTAAAAGCCTCAAGCCGTAAGTATCAAGCGGATAGCCAGCCCCATTCAAATCTTGAATGATTTATTCTTCTAAGTTTCGACTCAAAACTCTTTATAATAACTCGAGTGTAGTTGTCTCAGACTCAGATTTTGGAATATTGCATTGTTCCGTTATGCTTATACGAGTATATGGCATTTTTGCGGTTTCATATTCTCGAAGAGCAGTTGTAATAATATTCTCATCGTATTTTTTATATGTTTTGTTTCGAATATTTTTATAATTGCGAGGCATACAGTCAGGTTGGGTAACTTAGAACACTTTTCGCAGATTTTTAAGTACACTGAAAAATGTATGTATTGGTTGCACTATTTTATACAGTGTGGTAAGTATTCTTTCATTCCCAAAATTTAAATGATCTAACCAATATGATGTATTAATACAGAAAAAGGTTAGAAATTGATGTTTTAGTGGCCATTCAAATTTACGACTTTCGGATAATTTTGAATTGAGTTATCTAGGATAATGAAAATCTTCTATAATTCATTAATTTTTATTTGGTTTGGGTAATATTAAACTTTTATTTAGATTAAAATATATGTAAAGGTGTCTAAATAAATTGAGAGTCAAAGACATCAAATTGCCATTTACTGGGGAGGCCTCCCTCCAAAATTTACTCTGAATAGGTGGAAAAAGCTTAACAGAAACAAATGTTTTTTTAATAATACCTATATGATATATTTATTAAGAATCAAAGAAATACATAAAATTGTTCACTTATTTAGCTATCAAATGAGATCAATAAAGACTGATGAGATCAAAGGTGACAGGATACAGGTGAGCACAATGTTATTGAAAAAATCATTCACCCCATTCCATGAACAAAATATCATCATCTATGAAAAGCTTTCCATCCCTTCTTGTTAATTGATGTTCTTTTAGTATAAAGATATTATGTTCTCCTTCTTTACAACGCCCCGTTCATTTTTTTAATACCTTGTCCAGGCCCCAAAACATTATTTTTTGAAAACATATATGGTGACATTGTTAGACCTTAGTCTTTCAATGGATCCAGGGAACATCTCGAACTTCCTTCATCTCTGAAAACACAAAACACATCTTCTTTGATCTTATCTGGCTGTGCGTTTTCATCATTTTTTGTGGCTTCCTTAGAGCTTATTAGAATGCCGCCTGAACTCACAAGATACTCTTGTGCAACTACATCATCTGATTACAGTTACTGTCATCAACAGTTTGCAAAATTTCTACGTACTGGGCTTCTTCTATGCTGCCTTCAATTCTTTCTATATTTTCTAAATTTCTTTGGTTCTGAACATTTTGTAGTATTTTCATACGCTTTGGTGTAGACATCTTAATTCCATGTATTTCTACTTCTACTGTCATTTCAATATTTTCCATTAATTAGTTCATCATCACTATATTTTGGCACAGGCACTCTCAGTCTATTTTTCTTTTAGATCCAGCTGGCCGTTCTCTTTTTTTCGGTATAAAATTCGTTTCCTTTCCTTGGCTTTGAGTGCCCTTTGCTTTTTCTGCATAGAAATATTCAACTTCCTCTGCTGAGACACTTTTGCCTGCTGTGATTGGTAGTTGAAACTTTCTTCCCCGAGTTGCGTCGCTTAAATCTGATGATCTCACCTCTTCAACAAAACAATGGAATGCTTCACCAACAGATTCTCGTACATCAACTACGCGGAATGAAATGCATTCCTAACCACTCTTCAAAAACTTCAGTGGTTATCCAGCCTAGTTTCACTGCCATCCGCGAGCCTTCTGGTGCTTGATAAAGCCAATTTTTCCTTTGAAAACAAAGAATGATGGCAGAGTTTCTCCGGCAGCATTAACACAGAACATGACTGTATAGCAGGATTTTGTGGATTTTTAATTATTTCAGGGTGTCGACAATTTCGGCGAAACAACAGTTTTTTTGCCTGGATCGTCATGGAAACCCGACTCATCCATATTAAAAATGTTTTTGGGAGAGATTAACTCTATCTCCTGAGATATATTGGCGAAAAATTCCTCTAATTTCTCGAGATTTACTTGAGCCCTCTTTCATGGGATGTTGTGAGCTACTTCCATGTTAAGTTCTGGATGACGCGCTAAGAATAAAGTGCCTCATTCATATTCAGGCAAATTGTTTTGGAATTACAGTATCTTTTTATTATTATTATCCAAAAAATTTTATACAATGACCCTAAAATCTAACATACTTATTAGTATTCTAATATCACTCAGCACTAACAAATGAGACTTAAAACTTTCTTCCTCAGATTTCGACAGTGCAATTGGTCTACCAACATCCTTAGTATGCTTTTGCTTAAATTTATAAAATAAAGTTACTGCCGGTATGTTATACCTTTTTGAAGCTTGCATCCTAGTTAAGGCTCCCGATCGGATTTTATCTAAGGCTTCCTCTAAAATAGCTTTTACGCACACCGGGCTTAATCACTTTTGCTTTTCGTGGCATTTTATCAACCTGTAACAGTAGGAAAAAAGTATAATAAATGGAAACTCAATATGTGAAAGTTACACTTTGTAAAAAGAGAAAACCTTTATTGAATATAAGGTTTTATAATAATAAGCTAAAATTAACAGTAAAATTTGTTTTAGTTACATTAGATACATTGACAAATAACTAATAAAACAGATTGATAATGACATCAACTTATGACTGATAGTTTCAAGTAAGAAGTTTACATCATTCTCCCGCGCTATTTTAAAACATAATCTTTTGAAATTCTGGTGTTTTATGGTCGCGGCCAGATCTACGAAGTGTTGGCTTCGGCGGTGGTGATGATAGTAACTCGGTCTCTAGCTCACTGCTATTATTCTGCTATTATTATTATTTTTATACACGCCACGTTAACTGGTATAAATTCAAGTTCGTAAAGAACTTGAATTTAATATTAATTATCACAGATCCCGTTTCATTAGATGGAGGAATCTTCAAGTTTTGGTCTTCTGTTTCCGAAAGTGGTTCTGCGACGTTATGATAATCAGTAGTGTGTTCATTATCTATTTGCAGATTTACCCTTTCTGAACCCAATGATGCTAAATGACGATTTGACACCGTTGTTTCTCGGCCATCTGGAAACCGAATGTATGAAAAGTCAGGCTTGCTGTGTATCAATTCAACCTCTTCTACTAATGGCTGACAACCAACTGAAAATGACATAGTGAATACACAGATTAAACTAAACTATTCCGACACGGTCATCCTACTCATTCATCTGTCTCAGATGAATGACCGATATCATTAGATGCAGACCAAGGCTTTATCATATCCGCAGAACTTGATGTATGGATCGGACCTTCTCCGTGACCTATCTTCTTCAGTTCATACCGATGATTAGCTCTTGCTTTAATGATTTCATACGGGCCGAGATACTTTAGATGCAACTTATAACCTTGAACAAATTGGGTTCTCTTGGTTGCAACTAGGTCGCCAACATTATATTGTCTAGCATTCTTTCTTTTTCTATTATAGTACTTTCTATTTTCTTGTATTTTCAGTATACTTTCTTTGGCTTCTTTTCGGAGTTCTTCTCTTTGCGAATTATACTTTTGAATATTCTCTTCTTCTACTACTTCTAATATGCCATCATCATTATCTTTTATTTTACATCCTAGTAGCGATTCCAAAGGCGTCACCTTAATGCTTCTTTGGTACGTGTTATTGAG